TAGTTTCAGGACAAGATGATAAACATGAATCAACAATTAATTTTCATAAAAAATGCCTAGAACATGATATGCGATTATGAGTTTCATGCTGTACAATTTCAGTTTAATCTACCAATTCTTGAGGTTTTGGTTGTTGTTTTTGATTGGAATGCGTTCAGGGCAATCTTGGCAAGCTATTGAAACAAGAATGGAGGCTTGAATCGACCTCTAAAGGGGTTTACAGTTTTGAACTTTTTGGTGAAAATTCCAAGTTTGCTATGTCTCTTTCTGCGCAGCTTTTTGTCCCTTTGCATTAGGTTTTGATTCAAGCATATGTAGTGAACATTTTAGGTCAACAAAACTCAACCAAATCCATGGCATTGATGGTTTTAGGAAATTTGATTTTAAGGATCTTTTTCCATATCTTTTTCAAGTGTTCTTTGTTCAAATCATGCCAAATCAAACCAAATCTTGCCATATTGGGATGTGCACGAGATATTGAGAGTAAAACATGCATGAAAAGATTTTTTAGGTCAAGTTTTATATTTTCTACATATTTAAATGTTTTAAATGAATTAATATAAATAATAATTCAAATAAATAAATAAAAAATGAGAAAATACTTCCCTTTGGGCCAAGTGGTCGTGCATAGGCTTGGAATGATGAATCATGGAAGAAAAATGGGCCCATTAGCAAATTTAGGTCATTTGAAGTAATGTTGACTTTTCAAAATATCCAAAAATTTCCCAACTTCCACAAGGCATAACTTGCTCAATTTTTAAGCTTTTCTCATGTTCTTGGACATTTTGGAAAGGTCTTTGAGTCCTCTAACCAATTCCTTTGGTCCCATGTCATTTTAATTTACCAATATCAAGTTATGGCCTTGGACTTAAAGTCCCTTTTTGTTGACTTTTGAAAATGACCTATAATGTTGAAATTGATAACTTTTTGTGAGAGCATTTCTTGGACTTGGAGTATGAAGATGAATTGTAGGAAATGTCTTTCTCTTCAAAATGAGCTTTGGATGGGATTTTTCTGATAATCCATGTGAAAGTTATGCCCTGGTCAATTTCAGTTGACTTTTTTCAGCTGTCCAAATATAGTAACTTTTGCATCTTTGATGATTTCTAAGCCAAATTTTGAGAATCATGATCAAGCATTGATCAAATGATGTTTGTGGCTTCAAAATGATATGTTGACCAAAAATTTGAACTTTTGACTGCCAAATGACCATTTTGCCCCTACAGTTGACTGTAGTGCAATTTAGGGTTTTGACTGTGCAATTTTGAGCTGAATGCCTTGAAACTTGATATGAGGATACTTGACCACCTTTGTAAGCATGTGAGACTTGATTGAGCCTTTGAAAACTTCCTTTTCTTGATCAGAACATAAACCCTAGTTTTAACTGTATAGGGGACCTTTGCATTGTGCAACCCTTGGAGAATTTTGCAGCTTGACTTGGCAATTTCTTGGAGAATATGGGAGGGCAAATTTTGGGGTGCAACAACCGTCATCTGTGAGTCGGTATCTTTTTCGATCTTCTACCTTCAACTATTGAGTTGGTAGTTTACCATCATCTGTGAGTCAGTATCTTTTTAGATCCTACCTTTGACCATTGAGTTGTTAGTTTGTCGTCATCTGTGAGTCGGTATCTTATTGATCTTCTACCTTCAACTATTGAGTTGGTAGTTTATCGTCATTTGTGAGTCGGTATCTTTTTTGATTTTCTACCTTTGACACTGAGTTGGAAATTTACCATCATCTTGAGTCAGTAACCATTTATCTTTTCACAACCTATGCAAGACGTCTTCCCTGATAGAGTCAGAAATTTTTTCTTCTCTCGAAGTTGTTCCCCGATAAGAGCCTCTCATTCGAAGTTTGTGGCTCTGTTCCACAGTCTCAGTACTGAAGTAAATTATTACCAGTCACAATACTGATGTCAATCGTTATCAATCTCAGTACTGCTATAAATTATTTCATTTCTCCAGTCTCAGTACTGAAGTCAATTGTTACCAGTTTCAGTACTGATGTAAATCACTTTCTTTCACCAGTCTCAGTACTGATGTAAATCACTTTCTTTCACCAGTCTCAATACTGACATAAATCACCTTCTTTCACCAGTCTCAGTACTGATGTAAATCACTTTCTTTCACCAATCTCAGTACTGATGTAAATCACTTTCTTTCACCAGTCTCAGTACTGATGTAAATCATTTTTTTCTCCAATCTCATTACTGATGTCAATCATTTCTTTCTCCAGTCTCAGTGCTGATGTCAATCTTTACCAGTCTCAATACTGATGCAAATCAATTTTCTTGACCTCAGAGTTATTACCAATCAATCATTTTCTTTACCTAATCTCAGTACGGATGTCAACCATTTCTTTTCCAACTGCAGAGTTGATGTTAATCATATTAGCTTCTGGCCCCAGTCTCAGTACTGATGTCAAATCGTTTCACCACTGGATCTAAAAATTTGGTGCATTCTCTTGTTTCTCTACCTTCGGTAATAATCGATAGTTCACCTTCAGTAAACGTCAGTGTATCTTATTTTTCTACCTTTAACCTTGAGTGGAAAACTTACCATCGTTATACCCTAATAAGAGTCTCTCGTTTGAAGTCTATTATTCCTTTCCCCAGTGGAATTGTAATCTCTTCACCTGTGGAATTTCCTTTATCTTCTGTTTGGTCTCTCCAGCAATAGTTGATCTTTTGTGGTATCATTCCTCATAAAATTCAAAGTATTGAACTCATATCATATCATAAACATCATCACGGTATCTTAGGACCAAAAATTGTGTATTCTATATTTAAGTATCTTTAATCTCGTCGAAACGAAGATTTCAATCTTCATATATTTGAATAGAAGAAACTTAAATATGGGCAGCTGTCATACCCAATTTTTTTACCTAAGATCCCACCTTCATTTTTGTATTTTTCATAAAGCATCAAGGACACGAGATACAGTTGGTTTTTAATTCGCTCGCCTTTGAGCATTGCTTATGCAGAGATTATCAGTTGTTGTGAACATTTTATTTTATGCATCACTAACTCCTAATCCCATAAAAAGGTGTATGTTTGTGTTTCTTTAGTTTCATGTGCAGAGACAGGTCTAAATCAAGAGTGTCAGGTGTTGCGCCTCAATTAGGGTTTTGGATCCCTCAAGTGTTCAAGTATGGTGAATCATCAATTCTCAAAGACTACTTCATCAAAGTTTAGCCTTCAACCAAAAGCACAGTCAAGATTTCACCATCACTGGTTCACATGTGCATCATTATGTCTTGGAACGCAAGAAAAGATCAAGCTATGTGAGACAATTCAAAGCACTTCAACCAAAAGTCAACTTTTGTAAGTTCAAGTTCAAACGATTGTTACTTCTTCATTATTCACTATTTTTGAGTGGTTCTTTTTGCGCATGACTCTCCTTGATGTTATCTTCAACTTCCCTTTACAAGTCAAGAGCTAATTATGAGCGGAGGATCATCAAAAATTCAAATACTTTAGAGGTCGATTTGTGGGCTTTGACCTAATTTCATGTTTTTTATTTCCTGACTTCCAAGGATCATAACTTCTACAATATTTAACATTTTGGGACGATTCTTTTTGCATGTTGTCGTAAGCAATGTCATCTACGAGTTATCTTCAAGGATGAAGTAAATTTTGCTTAGAAGACCTTGAAAGTTATCGAATCGTCATAGGTTGTTGAATATTCTTAAAGCATATGTTTTGTTCATCAGGAGATTGAATTCAAGTTTGGCAATTGAGTTCCATTTGATTTGAGCATGGCATACGAGTTTTATTTTGGGTACAAGTTCTTATGGAATCAAGAGGATATACAATGTTCGAAACACATTCAAGCAAACTTCACTCAATTCTTAGTCAAAGACATGGTCAAGATCATGTGGATTCACTTATGGTGTCAATCTCCTTCAAGCTTTTTTTCAAGTTCAGGTTCATTCAATCATCATTCTTAATTTCTTACAAGGATATCCAAGTTCCTTATGTGAGTAATTGTCAAGACTTTATCACTCATGCCGCAAAAGCAATTTTCAAAGGTTCTCATGAATTTACAAAGTAAATTCGAGGTTCATGGTTTTTCATCTATCATTAAGCATGTCAAGAATTCAAGTCCCATGAATTAATTCCATAAGACTTCTTAAAGTTGCAAGAACAAAGTTCAATATTTTTCCTTAGTTGCGTTACAATTCAATAATAGTTCAAGTTTCTACAAAGATTAAATTTATTCATCAAGCTATTTCAAGTTTCTACAATTTTTAAGTTACAACAAAAGGAAAATAAAACTCAAGTTTCTATGCCTAAAGCCTTCATTTTATCTCTTCAAAGATTCCATAAACCATGCCTGAAAATCATCCAAAAACAACCCATAAACCTCCAAAAAAAATTGTTGTTGTTGCTGCCCTGTTACTATGTTGATGTCCATAACAATCCAAAAACTGCATAAACCTGTCAAGAACAGCCTGCTTCCCTGTTACTAGGTTGTTGTCCATAACAATCCAAAAACAGCATAAACATGCCAAAAAACCTGCATCATATCAGTCCAAAATACCCTACAAAGACCTATCCACAAATAGTCCAAATGTTGCACAAAATTAGCAAATCAAAAAAACTACATTGGAAAGCATTGAGACAGTTAACCAAATCACTTCCAATTCACCAAAAATTCCCTCCAAATTCACCTAAATATCACCTATAAATCAAGGCATTCTTTCCTCTCAATCTCAAAAAGGGGAAGCTGAAAACACACCAACAATATCAGCAACACTTTATACACCAATAACCATACAGCGAAATCCAAAGAAATAATAGATAAAAAATATTAGTACATACCTCAAAACCTTCCAAAAAACCCTTTTCAAATCTCTGAAATTCTGTAGAATTTCCTCCAAAGCCATAAAACCCCATCCTTCATACTCTAAACCATTCAATCTCCCTGCATATCTCAGAAAACCAAAACAACATAAAAAAATATCATAAAATTATCTGCATCTCTAACACCTTATACTCAACACCATAAACAAACACTATTGAAGAAGATGGAAGGAATCAGAGACTTATCAAAAGAAGTTATCTGCAGAGTTCTTAGGACAAAGATTAAATAGCATAAATAGCATACTTGAGACAAGCCGTGGCCGACTCCCTCTGGTACGGACCCCTCTGGCGGTTTACCTTTTACTCTTTTTTTTCTTCTTTTCATCTTTCCTTTTACGCATCTGTTCATGTTGATTGATACATTTTTTCGTGATTTTATTGCCCATTATGCATTGATATTTCTTTTTAAGTGAAGATCGAGGGGTAACATCACGAATTTTGTGTGAGTCTGTAACTTAGGGTTTGTCCTCTGGTGAACGATTCCGGCCGTTTCAGTTTAAGTTTGCTAAGTTTGATTTGATTTTTTTGGACTGAGAATGTAAGATGGGAGAAGGTTTACGTTTTACAAATTGATGAGTTGAAGCTCTGAAGAGGAGTGTGTTTGAACATGATAAAGAGAAAAAGAGCGCCATGCAATTAAAAAATAGATAGATGATTCGGTTATCAGATAGAAAGAGTAATAAATAGAGAAATTAGGATCGTGAGCATGAGAGTGAGAGGATTAACGTGAGATTAGGAATTAGAGAGAGAGCTTTCACGTGTGATATGTAGAAAGAAAGATTTCCATTTGATTTATTTTGGTTTAATTGTAGTTAATTAATATTAATGTTAATTGTGCCAATTAATTGAAATTTAATTTGGACCTTTTCAAATAACAATAGTGCAGCGGCGCTCTCTCTCTTTAATTAGGGTTTTCAAAACCCTTCCTCTCCCTTTCCAAAACCGGGTCAGTTTTGGGCCCTTTTAGCCCAATCCACTTTAATCAATTTTAACATTTATTGCTTTCATGCATATAATGATTGAACGACATGGTGTAGTGGTTAGAGCGTGAGCCTTGTATGTGTGAGGTCCTGGGTTCGATACCCATTGAGGCACTTTTATCACTATTTTGCATTTTATCCCCTTTTAACCCAAACTATGTTATCATATTTTAATTAAAGTATATATACAACAGAAAAATGAATATGGTTTAGTGTTGAGGCAGACTAGTTACAACCTACGGGACCTGAGTTTGATCCCTGGACCTTACATTTTAATTTCAACTCCCTTTTAGCCTTATTTCTTAAAAAAGTTATTAGAATATATATATATATACTCTAATCTCTTATTTTAATTAATTTTTAGTTGTTAATTATTTAGTTATTTAATTTCTATTTTAGTTAATTTCCCTTTATCAATCATTTAGACTTTATATTTTGTTTGTCTAACTCCAAGGAAAAGAATTAGTTAGTCGACTTCATGTCGAATATACCTAACACGATTATGCGAAACCCCTTTTCATACATTTTTCTTAATTTTTTTGTTAATTTTGAGACGAATATCCTAAAAAATCAATTTTTAAACTTACACTATTTTAAGCCAAACTTCGACACTAGGTCGTCGCATTTTTAAAATCTCATCTCCACACTCATTAAGCAAGCAAACCAATTTTAATAAAAAAAACAGATATTTCAAAAGGTTCCTATATGATACTATAGATACATATGGTGCTAGTACCTTCCCTTTGTATAAACAACCCCCGAACCTTTGATCTCTTTCAAATGCATTGTATTTTTCTTTACTTTTAGTGTTGCATTTACTTTGCATATTTACGGGTTTTATTTTTCTCTTTTCCCTTGGAAATAATAAAGCGTGGTGGCGACTCTTGCTTTTGCGAGTCGAGTTAATCAATAGCTTTATCTCCAATTTTCACCGTTACAAGGGCCCCGAAGTAAGATACCAGCAAATTGAAAAAGTGGCATTAGCCCTCATCAATGCAGCGAGGAGGCTCAGACACTATTTCTTGGCACACACTATAGTCGTCTGAACCAATAAGACAGTTTCTCGGTAGACCAGACATGGCGGGAAGGATGTTGAAATGGTCGTTGGAATTCTCTGAATTTGACATCAAATATGAAAGCAGGAAAGCCCTCAAGGCTCAGGCTCTAGCCGACTTTATAGCTGAAATAACTTATCCTACACCCCCTGATGGGACGCGTCAGTGGATGATCTTTGTCAATGGCACCTCCAGTGCAACAGTGAGTGAGCAGGTTATCATCTTAGAAACTAAGGAGGGGGTTCTAATTGAAGTATCCCTTATGTTGTCCTTCCCAACCTCGAACAACCAAGCTGAATATGAGGCATTCTTGGCAGGATTGCGCCTAGCCGAGGACCTGGTAGCCGAGGATGTGAAAATATTCACTGATTCCCAGCTTGTGGCGTCCCAAGTCCAAGGATAATACCAAGTAAAAAACGCCTGTCTCGATGAATATTAGACTCTGGTCCCAAAAAGAAAGAAGAAATTCAAGTCAGTAAACATGCAGCACATCCTCCGTGAGCATAACACTTGGGCAAATATATTGTCAAAACTGGCGAGCACAAAAAATAAAGGTGGAAACAAGTCGGTAATATACGAGATTGTTTCTCGACCGAGCACCCATAAATCCCCCTCGACTTTAGAGGTATTCACCTTAGGAGACAACAACTGCTGGATGACCCAGTACAAAACTACCTCACAAAAGGGGGGCTACCCACTGACCAAAAGGAAGCAGCCGTGATTAGACAAAGATCCTTCTCCTATGTTCTAGTCAAGGGAAAATTATACAGGAGGGGATTTTCAATTCCTCTCCTCAAGTGCATCGACAAGAATGATGTCGCTCGTATCTTGCTCGAGATCCATGAGGGGATAAATGGCCAGCATCTCAGTGAAAGATCCCTCGTTGAGAAAGCTCTGCGGGTATTGTATTAATGGCCCACCATGCAACACGACGCCAAAGAGCACGTAAAAAATGCGACAAATTCCAACGGCACGGAGACATGCACTTGGCTTCTCCAAACGAGCTCAAGTCCCTTTCTTCTCCATGGCCCTTTGCCTGGTGAGGACTGGACCTCCTCGGACCATTCGTGGTAGGTACCAACCAACACAAATACCTAATAATAGTCGTTGACTACTTCACCAAGTGGATAGAGGCAGAGGCAATGGCCAAAATCACCGCCTAAAACATCCTCCATTTGTATAAAAGAAATATCCTCGCTCGGTTTGGTGTTTCGTAAGTAATTGTCACAGACAACGGAACCCAATTCAAGAACCAATACTTCTAGGAGTTCATGGCCAACCTAGTCACCACACAACACTCTGCCTCTGTTGAACACCCTCAGACAAACGGGCAAGCCGAGTTCCAAAACATGGTAATCTAGAGATGTCTCAGGCGAAGGTTGGATGAAATTAAAAAGAGATGGGTTTAGGAGCTACACAACATGCTCTAGGGCTATCGAACAATAACTCACTCTTCCACCGAGGAGACTCTCTTTCGATTGACCTACGGGACCGAGGTCGTCATCCCTGTCGAGATTGAAGAACCCTCCAGGTGAACTGAGGCTCCCCTAGACGAGGAGATGAACGACGTTGCCATACGGAGAACTAGATCTGTCGAAGAAATATGAACAGGGACGGCCCTATGAGAGGTATCTCTCAAACAGAAAATCGCCTTGCGATATGACACCAAAGTCATACAGTGAGGGTTCGAAGTCGGCAACCTTGTCTTAAAAAGAAATCACAAAGAGTCTCGTGAATGAAAGCTCACTGTAAACTAGGAAGGCCCTTACCGTGTTCATGCAAAAACGGGAAACAGGGCCTACTATCTAGAAAACCTACACGGGGAACAACTTGCTTGATCTTGGAATACTGAAAAACTAAGGCAATATTATAGTTGAAACATTGAGCAGTCGGCAAGCTTCTTCGACAAGATGAACTCATCCAAACTCGATCACATGTGCATGCCTATGTACAAGAACGACACTCAAATTCTTTGAAGGGGCAAGGATCCACTATTTTGACGAACATATCCTTATCCCCACATGGATAACTCGACCAAGCTACATCTTCATTGTACCACTCCTGTAGAACGCCCAACACGCGATGGAAAGTTCACACCGCTGAGCTCGGGTCCTCGAAACGAGACCTGAGTTTCGGCCCATGCCCAGTATTCACCCTGGCCATTTTTTCGGTCTTCCCACACCGGAAAACACACTAACTAACAAGCAAAACCCCGCAAAAACTCTTAACCAATAAAAAATGTCTCAAGCAGATGAGCATACAATAAACATGCAAACACTTCAAAAAGAAAAGGCAACGCAATCATGCATAAATTAAAGAAAATGACCACCACGGCCAGAAAATTAATGTACAACCATTAAGGCCACAATTGTGCAAATTTTACAAAAAGCGGGCCCAAGACCCCCGTCCAACAAAGTAATTACGTAGCCACAAAGACCACAGATGTTTGAAACTTATTCAAAACGGGCTAAAAGCCCACATAACAAATTACATCAATACGACACGCAGGCCGGGAAAGAGAAAGTAATAATAAGAAACAGTTAAACAGCAGGTTGTAGCTCTTCCTCGACGACAGGCTCTTGATGCGATGACTCTCCAACGGGCGGATCCACGACATCATTGAGAAATTCGGGGATCACAATCTTCCCGATAGACACATAATAATGAAGCCCCATTCTAGCCATGTTGAGCTCGACACCAGGATTCAATACCCGTAGTTGCTTCACAACATTATTGAAACCCCCCTCGGCAACAGCTTGGGCGTCATCCATCACCAGTTGAAGGCGAGCTACCAACTCAGCACGGGTCTTCAGGCCTTGAGCCTCTTCTATCTCGTCTTCGGCAAGAGTTGCTTCGGCCCTCAGGGATGCCACCTGTTTGTCAGAAGCTCTCTTCTTTAGCACCAATGCCTTATGCTCCTTAGTCAATTTCTCCAGGCGATCCTCTGCCACCTCTCCAGGAGTTGCTAAACGAAAAAAAATAAAAATAAAAATAGTAAATCTGAATTGACTGGAAGTTTTTTTTTGTGATATCTGTTGGGGAATGAATTTTTCTTGTTTCTTTTTTTGTGAGAAGGGTTTATGGGAGATGATTGCTCGTAACGTGGTAACAGTGCCAATATGAGGTTCTCAGGAAAGACATTTGTTATGCGACATGGTGATTGATAAAATAGGTACGAAAAGATGATGGATAAGATCTACGAACGACCTGTGATCCTATAGAGAAAGACCTACGAGCGATATGCTATGAGAGAGACCTATGGGAGATCTACTAAGAGAGACCTATGGGCAATTTGCTAAGAGAGCTAGATCTAC